TACTTAGAGTTGTACCAAAAACAATCCCTGCTTGCCTCTCTAACCTACAGTTTAGTTCACACTCCATAGCGCAATTGTATACACTTCTCTTTTACTTATTCAAAGGGGATCTTGCTTTCAAAGACTTCAGGGTCTTTATACACACAGTTTGTTCTGTCTGGCAAGCTATTCCATAGCTTCTTCCTCTGGTTAACTTCTGATTATTTTTCAGTTCCCTCACTTGAACACCAGTTCCTCAGGAATGCATCACCTTATTGTCTTGCCCAGATTAAATCTCACCATCCTTTCCTACAATAACCTCTCCTATAGACTGTAAAGCCCTTGGGACAGGAGTATCTGTATGCCCAGGTTCTGGCCCTTAGGCATCCCTCAATGAACAACTGAATGGATAAATTGCCCACATGTGCAATAGATTTCCACATCTGGCCCTAGAACTGTTGCCAAGGGGATATGCTTTTAAGTCATTAGGTGTATTATTCAGTGACCAAGTAAACTTAAGGCAAAAATAATAATAATGAAGTACATAGAAAGCCTCATCTATCAAATTAGGTAGATAAATGTCATCCTTTTGGAGATGAAGTTTGGGAAACTGCTGGAAATAAGGAAGCTTCTTTCTGGTAACTTGATAGTTTATTAATGAAGCTCTCTGTCTTGATTTTCTGCATAATTGTATAATAGGCTTCGTTCAGGGATGATTTTTCAAAATGACCAATCTGCATGAATTTCAGCATCATAAGTTACAATTTAAAGCATATTGAAAATGAAAAAGTAAAAAAGCTATCAAGAAAAAACATATTTGAAGTTTCAACAGTGAGATATTTGCTATACAATGTTAAGCTAATAACCCCTATGAATCATGTAGAAGTGAGGATTAGGTAATCATTAGTTTAATGATGCAATGCTAATTAAATGTTTTCAAACAGGTTATGTAATATGAACCAGGAGGCTGGCTAAGGTAATAAAATTTCCAGAAAGAAATCTAAATATGGATAATGGTGACTAACTTGAGATGGGTCTTTCCCATAAGAAAAAGAGAGGCCCAGGCAGGCAGCTTGAAGGCTCAGGAACTATAGAATACTTAACCTAGAAAGGAAAGTGAAAGTTCTACTCATTTATGCATAAATGCCAGGAAAGCATCTGCTAAAAAGTTAGTGTTATTTTACACAGGGAACTTTGTTTCTCTACAGCAGTACTGTCCAACTGAAATATAATACAAGCCCATAGGAAAATTTAAATTTTATAGTAGCAACATTAAAAAAGAAAAAAAATTTTAACTTCATACGTTATTTAACCGAATAAATCCAACATATTTCATTATGTAATCAATATTAATTTTTAAATGTTTATTTCAATATATAATATAAAAACTAATGAGTTTTCTTATGCTAAGTATTTGAAAGCCAGTAATTTACATTACAGCCCTCATTGTTGACTAGCCACATTTTATCTGTTCAAAGCCACCTGTGGTTAGTGGATACTATACTAGATGGTGTAATCGTGCAACTTTAGACTATTGCCCAAATGAGTGTCAGTGTGTGCATAATACTTTCAGTGGTAACTCCAAATGAAAGCTCTGCAGTGTTATCTGAATAACCAAATAATAAGAGTGAAACTCCGTCTCCATAAAAAAAAAAAAAGACCACATTTTTTAGTGTAATTTGATAATCATTTCTATATTTTATGTTCTAATTCTTTGAATATTGATAGGCCATGGATGGACCAAGTTAACTATGTTGAGTCATTATTTGTGACACCCTAATTTAGGAATCAGCTGTGATGAAAGTTTCCTTTAAACAAGCTTGAGGATGCAGAGTACCCTAGTGGAAAATGGATATGTAGGAATCACCTGGATCTTCTCAGACATAGTCTTCATGAGCAAGTCTGAGCCCAGACCCTCCTGACAGAAAGACTACCTTCCTCTGGTACAAAAGAAGTGAGAAACGAGATGTCTCGTGGGCAGTCAGGGAGGTAGAAGGCGGCCAACAATACGTAAGCACGAAGAAAAGCACCTTGCGGTCCATCCAGGCAACTCTCTCGATGCCAGCTCTGCAGTCAACTCGCTTGACTAAAAGGAGTATCTCATGCCTAACATCTTGTACCCTGAGCATTCTAGATAAACAGTCATGCTCACTTCTGCTTACAGTATGAATACGCCATGGTATGTGACAACTTATCCAGAGGGTAGGGTGGGGGAGATAAGGACCTCCTCTTTTGAGGGGAGGAGTCTATCTGAATCAACAGTTGATATGAAATTCTACAGAGACTCAAAGACTAGTCCATATGGATATTTTTAATTGCATGTGAGATGGACACCATTTGAAGATCCCACACCTTCAGATTCTTGATAGCAAGTAAAGCTATTCCAAAGGAAAGAAGATACCTTAGTGACATGGCAATAATAGATTAATCTTTAGTCATTAAGACTTTTTTTCTTCAGTCAACAAAATATTTTTCATTGTGTTTCAACTTCTACCTTTTAATGTATTACCTTTTAATAACTTTTAAACTTCTGGTTCAGTTTATTGTCTCTATTAACCTCAACCTGCTTATTACAGATAACATACAAATAATAGATTTAAGTAAACAACAGAGATAAGAACTGCATTTTAATGTCTGTGTCAGTACCAAACTAAGCATTTTTGAAACATTGGAATCATCCACATTTGAAACAGGACAAATGAAACTATTTTATACAGAAGATACACACACACACACACACACACACACACTCTCTCTCTCTCTCTCTCTCTCCTATAGAAAATGGCTTATCTGTATTTACACACACTCTTGAAACTTCATACAAAATAGTGCACAGACCACAAACCTAAGAATCCTAAAATATATCACTCATGTATTGTTTTCAGTGTTTTATTTCTAGACTGTAGCCTCAATATCCCTATTTTATAGCTTTAAGCTACGTCTGGATTTATTATGAATAGAGATGGTTTCTTTACACAAGGAATAAAAGATATGTGTATTATTTAGAACATTACATGAGAAATAACTTCAGTTAACTCTTCAGCAAACACCATTAATGTTTTAACTCATTGACTAGGAATCTTGTCTTCTTTTTTTCATCTCAGTAAGTACCTTATGGATTGGCCTGAATTTTGAGAATTAGAAATATCAGTTCATCTCATCATTTCTAATCAATTATCTTACTCATCAATCAGGTTGATAAACTTTCACGTCACTTTATTCATTCATCCATCCAACAAATCTTTGTTTAATTCATGTCTATTACATATCTACCATGTTCACATTTCTCCGAGAACAGTCAACCCCCATACTACACATGCCCAAATAATTTTTCCTTCCTTCGGCAGGCATTATCTTAAATTTTATATTATATTATGACATGATTTATCCAATTAAACACAGACATCCAGAAATAGATTCAGTGTCCATCCAGACAGGAAGTAGGCACTAAATATCAGTTAAAATGTCATGGATCAGGAAACTATGACAGGACAACCGAAATAAAATTGTTTCCTCCTGAGACCTTGCCAAGATCCTCTGGCAGACTAAGGTTGTCGGCTCCATTCCCTAATTCTTCACCCACAACTCTCTCATGAAATAAAAATTATGCCTTGCAAAATCATTCCAAATATATGGGTCTGTGAATGTTTTAAACATTCCTACTGTGATTTTTGAGATTGAGGACGCTTAACAAGAGGCTAGGGCTTATTCTACATGCAACAGACAACTTGTGGACTTTTATGAGTGCTCTGAGTTGAAAGTTAAAATTCCATTATGTTTATACTCTATTTGAATTCATTTGAATGAAGGGAACCAGCTTCAGTTTGAAAAAGAGCAAATCCTACTATGAAATGCAAAAGAAGTTAAAGATCCAATAACTAGCTAATCGCAAAGTATTTATGCTGAAGATAAATATCAAGTAATACCAATTTTGTTCACCATTTACAGATGACCCATCAGCTCAGCAGACAGCATATTAGACCGTTCATCTAATTTTATTTGCAGTGAAGATGCATACGTGGAAGAAAATGGCTTAGACTTTGGACCCATGCAGACCTGACTTTGACTTTAGTTCCCACCGACCACTCACTAGCTAACTTTTAAAAAGATATGTGCAACTCTCTGAGCCACAGTCCTCATACATAAACCAGGAACAATGTCAACCATGACCCAGGGTTGTTTTGAGGGGAAACAAATTAAGCAATATGTATAGCAGTAACTAACACTTTGGAAAAAGATAGGTCTTATTATTGAATATCAGTTCCTCTTTCTTACCCCACTTGCCTGTGTGCAACAGATTTGCCTTTGGCTTTGAAACATGAAACTTCTCCCCTCCTCCAACAGGACAAATTTTTCAACTTGTCACAAATCTGAGACATTAAGAAGAGACTGCAAAAAGACTCTAACATGAGTTTTGGATGACAGTTTGGGGAATGGAAATTATATGTTAAGCTTCAGGTTAACTATATTAAAAACGGAGATGACAATTTTCCTTACATTTTCTTTTACACTGCATATTCTAAGTAAAACTGTATCACTTTTTTTTTTTAGGTCCTTAGGTTAAACGACGGGATATGGGATCTATTCCAATTGCTATTCCCACTATGCCCCTTAGCCTGTTCTTTAAGAAGGTTGATAGGTCAAAGATGGAAATAAAATTCTCAAGTCTTGGCTTAGCTAGATCCTGTCCTTAACATGCTGAGACTCTAAAATGTGCTTTACACATGGCGAGACAGGGGGAGAGATGAAGAGAAGGTATCATAAGAAATCTTTTTTCTAGAATAGTTTTGTCAGAATACTGCAATCGTTGCCATAAGGAAAAGGGAGAACGATATTAACAGAAAGAAGGGAATCTCTTTTATATTACGGAGGGAAGATGAGATATGGAGTTAAAACTGAAAACTTTTAACGCTTTAAACCACAAGCAACAGGCGACTTGAATCTTTCCAGGACTTGCCTTATGATGGAGTCCACATAGGGGGTCGAGAGGTCACTAACTCCTGGTCCCACACCCAACTCACCCAGCTGGAGCTGTTCGCACGTCCGGCCGGGATTCTTCCCGATCTTGCATCTGTAAATCGCCCCGGGATGGATCACTGAAGCGTTGGCGAGCCAGTTGGCAGTGGGCGCACCCACTATGAGCCTAAAGCGAGACACGTGCACGTGCGCTCAGACGTGAGCTCTGCTGCCCATTGAGCTCCACGTCGCAACAGATGTGCAGTCGGCAGCAGGGCAGTTTCCCCACCTCCTCCTCCGCCCACCACCCCCTACTCGAAGCTCCAGGACCTTGCGCCAGAACGCACCCGGGTCGCTGACACCCTAGGATAAGTTATTTTCCCTGGCAGATCTCCAGCGAGCTGGCTCTCGCAGCGTTTCCCTCCTGCCTCCTTGGGAGGGAGGAAAGTTTGAACAGGGCAGGGAATCCCTGGGGCGCCGCTCTCACGCTGCTCTGAGCTGCCAAGAGCGCACAGCTACGACTCCACTCACCATCGGTTCGCCCCGTGGCTGTGCAGCACGACCGAGTAGCCGAACAGCGTGTTGGGGGGGCCCTGGTAAAGCAGCGCGCTCTCAGTGTCCACGTTGTAGGGGCGGCCGGTCGGGACCCCCAGGCACAGCAACAGCATCACTGTCTCCCCGACAGCGGCCCTTCGGGGGCAGGGTCCGAGCCTGGCTTCCCAAGCCATGTGCTCTCGGTGAGGAACATTCAAAACTAAATGGCCACTGCCCCAAAGTTGCACGGGATGCGACGATTGGCCAACAAGGAAGAGCGCCCCAAGAGATGAGGCGCAGCGTGTCCCGCGCCCGCGGGCGAGAGGAGAGGAAGGAGGGAGGGAGGGAGGGAGGGAGGGAAGAGGACGGGAAGTTGGCCCGCTGCAGGCAGAGCAATCCAGCGGGCCTGGAACGCCGTGCACCCGCCGGGCCCAACGCTCAGTTTCTGCCGCCGGCCGGGAGCTACGGGTGCTCGCGCTTGTTTTCTGGGCAAGGGCAGCTGGGTGGGGTCCCGGGCGTGGTACGGAGACGCAGGGCCGGGCTCCGTCTCCCCCGACGCGCGGCTCCAGGGGGCGCTGGGGAACCTCGGCTGCGCAGGACGCGTAACCCCGTCCCGGGCCTCCCAGCCCGCAGAGCGCGGGATGGCTCCAGGCTCTGCAGGAACTGACCTGGATGGGGCACGGGGCTTCCCCTTTTAACCGTAGTTGGGGCCTAGAAGCTGTGTGGCCCCAAACCGCGCGCCCCTCGCTGTGACCGCCCAGCCTCTGCGGCCAGCCCGGCATGACCCAAATGCCAGCCACAAACTCGGGGACTGGGTCTGCGGCGGGGAGCCGTCCAGTTCTTTCGTCGACAATTAAACACCATGTCTTGTTTTCAAGTGCAGGCAACCACTGGAGAAATTATCAAAAGTCACAAATTAAAATTTAAAAAACCAAAAAATTCGCCGAAGGCCCCTGGGGAACATTTTAGTGACAAAGACGTTATGGTTATCCTCTTCAAGACCTACAGCTCGGCACGCTTCTATGCCCACTTCCTTCCTCCCCACACTTCCTCTGCAGCCAGGGCTGAGTGCGTGAGCGCGCGAGCAGCTGCCACTCTGGCTGAATTGCAGGTGGTTTAGGCTGTGGCCGACCCCAACAGAGAGGTTGGGATAAGGAAGCGCTGTGACTTGATTCACTTTAACCAATTCGGATTGCTCCAACTGGTTCTTGATGATCCCCCTTTTCACGAACCCACTCAGCTGCCACGGGACACACCTGCTGTTTGGAGTGTAAACCCCTGTGTGGGGTCAGGGTCCTAATGAGCCTCTGAAATGTGCTGGAGGCCCACGACCCAACACACCTGAACTGGGTAGGGTGTCTCATTCTAATGCAATCCAGGTATGCCCTGCTTTTTTTTTTTTTCCTTCAGCAACCAGAGAGACAGCCATAGATGATTATTAGACTGTTATTTTCAGGAGATGAAGGTCTAGTTTTTTATTGTTGCTATATGTAAAAAGAAAAGATAGCAAAAGTCTGCATCCAAGGATGGGTCTGTGTGCTAAAACCATACTGGAATAACATATCTAACCCTGTAATGGGAGATACATAATTAAAATGTTTATTCATTTATTCAGCACATTCGTGGAGGAGGCACTTGGCTAGGCCCACAGGATTCCACCAACAGCAAGGTAGGACTGACACAAACCTTCAGAAAATATTCGCTCCAATGGTAGGCAGAAAAATGTGTACTAACTAGAGAAAGTTCAAGGTGAGGGCACTTAAAGAGAGATTTGAAGGACCAGGAGGCTTGAATCAGGCTAGAACAGGATGAGCAATAAGGAGGGCTCCAGTGGGGCTAGGTAGAGGAATTGAGAACACTTGCCTGGCTAGAGTATTTAGCTGCCCCACACACAGGTTGGTGTGATATGAGGCTAACTTAGGGAAGCAGGGACACATGGGGAAACTCATAAGCCAGGTTAGGAAATTTTAATCTATGCTAGGCCTGACAGGAAGTTGTTGAAGGATTTGTCTTGGTCAGCTCTGGGTTTCGGAAGTGTGAACACAAGACTGAGCACAGAAAACCTAATTTTGGAAGTCCGTGCAGTAATAAGTAGAGAGAGGATAATGCTGGACTAGGAAGTGGCAGGAAGGAAAAAATAGATACAAGATTCTGAGAGTCAGAACTCCAAAGAGCTTGGTAATAGTACTGATAAATAGGAATGTGTGGCTGAGATGAAGGACTCAGGACGAAGCCCAAGGAGAAGTATTTCTCTTTCTTGAAAGACTCTCTTTTCAGGACACCACCTGATTCCATTTTTTTCTCCTCTCTTCCTATCTGGGGGCTCTGAGTCTCCTCTGCTGGCTTCTTTTCCTCCACCATAATTGTTGAAAATTCCTGGGGCTGTTTTGGATTTGGGGACTCGGTGTGTGGTGCTACCATTCATGGAGGGAAAAAAACACTGAGAAATGAAGTTATATGCATGTACTCATGCATGCAGATGGGGGCATTGATGGGTTGAGTTTTAGCCAGGTGGAATTTGAGATGTTTGTGAAATGATAGGATATTCTAGCCAAAGCCAATGCAATTATTTTCACTCTGTCAACAGACAAAATATGAGGAATATTAACTTTTCCTTACTCTTTGCAGTAAAAAATCGATATGATGTATGATAAATCTATTGTAAAAATGAAATGGCTTCCAGAAAGCTAACAACCAAGGCCCATGGTGAATGGTTCTGTTTCTTTCTGCAGCACTGAGTGTGTTTCTTTCTTAGTGGATCTACTTGCTTATTTTAACCCAGTTCAATGATTAGCTCACATTGTTGTTATTCTGAACTATGCAATTATTCTTGTTTGCAGCTACAAAACCTCCAGTTGAGGCCAAGGAGGCAAGTATATTAAAGCCACTCTGATACCCTCAGAAACTGGCAAAACCAGATCTTCTGATCTGAATCCCTACTAGTTTCTTTCCCTCCCTTCACCAAAATATTTTACATTGAAAGCCACTCAACACAATTTATTTCATAGCGTAGTTTCGGTGACCAAAGTCTGTGAGGCGGTTGATAAGGCAGGACTTTTTTCGATAGTTACGGTTATAGTTATGATTCACTACCTTTCAAGAAATAGTCACCCTACATTATCCCACATGCTATGTTAGCAGAATTTCCTTCCTCCAGGGCTTAGAAAAAAGCTTGCTTTTCCTACTGTCAGCAAGAATAAAGTGTGTTTCATGTTGCTTTGAAAAAAAACTGAAGATATTGGCATCTCTCTAATCAATGCTTCTGAAGACAAGCTGGGGGATGGAGGAAGAAGGGAAGGACATTTAAGAAAGACTCATGCCTATTCCTAGCTCTCAACTAGACATAAATATTTAGGCACCAAATTATTACATGTCATTAGATTAATATGTATCAAGTGCCCACTATATGCCAGAATATGCATTATGAACTACAATTATAGTAGACAAAATACAAATAATCTTTAACCTTTTGTAGGAAGTCTTTCCTGGTAGAGAGGGTTCTAATGTGGACTCACACTATTTTTCAGTTGTTATCAAAAGTAAGCATCTCTTCTTCTAGAAAGACTCTCTTCTCATGATATCACCTTATTAAGCTTTTTCTTTTCTTTCTATCTGGCCACTCTGAGTCTCCTCTGATGACTCCTTTCCCTCCACCATAAGTGCTAGAAATCCTCAAGGTTGTCTTCTGGAACCTCTTTCATTCTCTTTCCATCTTCCCTCTTTAGGAGATCTAACCCACTTCCTATGTCTTTAAATGCCATCTAAATATCATAAGTCATTAATAGAATAAAAAACAGAAGCAGTACAATTATTTCAGTAGATGTTGAAACAGCATTTGAAAAAATTCAACATTCCTTTATGACAAAAATCCTCTCCAAAATGGATATAGAAGGTACATACTTCAAAATAAAAAAGGCCATATATGACAGACCTACAGCCAACATTATACTGAACACAGAAAAATTGAAGGTCTTTCCTCTAAGGACTGGAACAGACAATGATACCCACCTCTTACCACTGTTATTCTACATAGGACTGGAAGTCCTGGCCAGAGCAATCAGGCAAGAGGAAGAAAGGAATGGCATCTAAATTGGAAAAGAAGAAGTCAAGTTAGATTTGTTTGCAGACTACCTGATCTTATACGTAGAAAAATCTCAAGAAGCCATCTAGAAACTGTTAGATCTGATTGAGTGAAGTTTCAGGATGCAAAATCAACATACAAAAATTAATAGCATTTATATATGCCAACAGTGAACAATCTGAATAAAAATCAAGAAAGCACTTCCTTTTACAACAGCTACAAAAAAATATACAATACCTCAGAATAAATTTAAGTAAAAAAGTAAAATATCTATACAAGAAAAATTATAAAACTCTGATAAAAGAGATTGAAGAGGACACAAAAACCCAGAAAGATATTCCATGATGATGGATTGGAAGAACTAATACTGTTAAAATGACAATACTGCCTAAAGCAATTTATAGAGTCAATGCAATTCCTATCAAAATACCAATGACATTCTTCACTGAAATAGAAAAAAATCCTAAAATTCATATGAAATCACAAAAGACCCTGAATAGCCAAAGCAATCCTGAGCAAAAAGAACAAAGCTGGAGGCATGATACTACCTAATTTCAAAATTTACTACAAAGCTATAGTAACCAAAACAGCACAGTACTGGCAGAGAAACAGTCACATAGACCAATGGAACAGAATAGAAAATCCACATATAAATCCATGCACTTCCAATCAACTCATCTGTGACAACGGTGCAAAGAACATACAATGGAAAAAAAAACAGTCTCTTCAATAAATGGTGTTGGGAAAACTGAATAACTATATGCAGAAGAATAAAATTAGACCTTTATCTCTCACAATATACAAAAACCAAATCAAAATGAATTATAGATCTGAAATTATGAAATTACTGGATGAAAGCACTGGGGAAATGCGCTAAGACATTGGTCTGGGCAAATACTTTTTTGTGTAAGACCTAAAAAGCACAGGCAACTAAAACATAAATAGACAAATGGGATGACATCAAGCTAAAAAGCTTCTGCACAGCAAAGAAAACATCAAGTAGAGAGAACCCACATAATGAGAGAAAACATTTGCAAACTATGTATCTGACAAGGGATTAATAACCAGAATATACAGGTAGTTCAAACAACTCAATAGCAACAAAACAAATAAAGCAAAACAAAAACCTAACAAAGAATCTAATTTCAAAATTGGCAAAAGATCTCAACAGATATTTCTCAAAAGAAGACATACAAATGGCCGATGGGTATGTGAAAACATGTACAACATCACTAATCATTAGAAAAATGCAAATCAAAACCACAATGAGATATTCTCATTCCAGTTAAAATGGCTTGTATAAAAAAGACAGGCAAAAATGATGTCAAAGGGGAACCCTGGTACAGTGTTGCTTGGGAATATAAGTTAGTATAGCCACTATGGAGAACAGAACAGGGGTTCCTCGAAAAAGTAAAACTGGAACTACAATATGAGCCAGCAATTCTTGTGGGTATACATCCAAGAGAAAGGAAATTAATACATTGAAGAAATATCTGCACTCCCATGTTTATTGCACCATCATTCACAATAGCCAAAATATGGAATCAGCGTAAGTGCCCATCAATGAGTAAATGGATAAAGAAATATTCATACATAATGGAATATAATGCAACCATAAAAAAGAATTAAATCCTGTCATTTGCAGCAATATGGATGGAACTGGAGGCCATTATGTTAAGTGAACTAAGCCAAGCATAGAAACACAAATATTACATGAACTTACTCATATGTGGGAGCTTAAAAAATGGATCTCATGAAGATAGAGAGTAGACTGGTAGTTACTAGAATGCAGGAAGGTAGGTGCAGGACAATAAAGGGAAAATCGATATATAATTATATTTTATATATATATATAATTATACCTATACAATTATATATAGGATGCAAAATCAACATACAAAAATCAATAGCATTTATATATGCCAACAGTGAATATAGGTATTTTATATATACATGTATATAATTATATAGGTATAATTATATATAATACCTATATTCACTGTTGTCGTATATAAATATATGTATAACACCTATATTCACTGTTGGTATATTTAAATG